AAATCAAAACATCAAAAGTTGGATGCACACACACACACACACGCACGCACACACACACACACACACACATACGTACGCACATACAGTGTTGTACACTCGAATCAAAAGCGTATGTCGTGTCATAAAAAGCATCGGAGTGCTCATACTTCCCGCGTGAACTCACGCATACAAAAGCAAACATTGTACATAGGTGTGTACATACGCATGTATATACACGTATGTATGCATGTATGTGTATATGTTTGTATTTATGTATGCCTATGTGTATGTGCATATGTATGTATGTATGTACGTATACAAATACGGAGTTAGGACATGTTATGTCTCGGCTCTCAGACAACAGGCGAACATTAAAGAAAACTTCTCAGTACTTAAATTATAAGGAACCTTACAAAGTCGGGAGAGATAAAAATGAAATCTTAGAAAGTAGAACAGTTATACTCTTTGGAGTGTTTTCAGGTCGGGAACTAACTGTCAAAGGGCATATTCAGCACATTTTCAACAAATTGGCTCACTCAATGGGCATAATTAATGAAATAAAATTTCTCCTTCCAAAAAATATTTGAATCTCCTTTATAATGCTATTTGCAGACCTTACATAGATTATTATAACGTTGTGTGGGCTGGAGCGTGTCCCTCAACTGCAAATTCAATAAAAATTCAGATGAAGCGAGCAGTATGGGATATAACGCTATCTAATCTAAACAACTCACCCACACGAATCAACTTTTCTTCTCAACTAATAATCTAAATTTTGATCAGATCGGTAAATATTTTACAGCCATTTTCGTCTCTAAGCAACATTCCAAGAAACTTCTTCGAATATTTTAAAAGAGCCAACAGCCCCAGACGTGTCACTCACTTACCTAATAGCCAACAATTTGAGAACTAATCTGCTGCATTTTCATGTTGTCGGTAGAGGACCAAGGATTGGGAATGACATTTTAAGAAACGATTTTTCATACAATGAAACATCACTTCAAAAAAAATTAAATTGTTTTTGTTAAACTTTAATGGCAGAAGAAATCTGTAAAAAAAAGAGAGATACTGTTTAATTTAATTCAACTTTCTCATTATTATCCTGGCTTCATTTTTTTTAGGAGTAAATAAAAGATCGTATCGTATCGTATGTATGCATGTATGTATGTATATATGTATGTATGTATGTATGCGTGTATGTATGTATGTATGTGTACAGTTCCTTTCCTGGCATCAAAGGCCATATTAAAATCATCAACAGTGTCAATGTTGACAGCCGTATAAAAACATCAAAAGCATCGTCATCACCTTCGTCATCATCTACGTCATCATCATCGTCCAAATCAACGAATACATCAACAACAAAACACACACCTCTAGACCAACAATATACATGTATGTTGTTGATCAAGGTAAGATATAACATTGCGTTGAAGATCATAATACGTTGTTGTTATTGTTGATGCAGATGTTGTTGTTGTTGTTTGTTTTTCGCGTTATTTTGGCAAAGTTTTTGTTTTATGTGGATGTTGTTGTTGTTGTTATAAACCGCAGATTATGACGATGACGCAGACGATGGCGTAGACGATGATGATTTATTTTTATAACTTTTCTTATGGATAAAAGCGGAGAACATTTCAAAGTTGTTGAAGTTGCCACTCGCCCAGATTGAGATTGATGATGGTTTTGTTGACGTTGTAGCCGCTACTGCTCTTGTTGTTGTCGTTGATGTTTGATGTTTTGTAGTAGTAGTAGTATTAGTATTAGTAGTATTAGTATTAGTAGTAGTAGTAGTTGTTGTTGTTGTTGTAGTAGTAGTTGTAGTAGTAGTTGTAGTAGTAGTAGTAGTAGTAGTAGTAGTTGTAGTAGTAGTAGTAGTAGATGTAGTAGCAGTTACAGAACTAACACTGGTTGTTGTAGTTATTTTGTTATTGTTGTTGCTGTTGATGTTGCTGTTGTTGTTAGTAATGTATTTATTGTTATTCTTATTGTTTTATTATTATTGTTGCTATTATTCCGAAAAAATAATTTTTTTCTATTATTTCTCGATACCCTCCCTAAGCGTTAAAAATAAACAAGCATCCTAGACGATATTAAATTAATCAATCTTTCAATTATATATATTTATTATTATTATTTTCATTATTATTTTATTATTATTATTATTATTATTATTATTATTATTAGCCTAATCCTAATAACGATTCGATATACTATACCTTTTCTTCCTTTGTAATAAATGCATTAATTTTGGAACATTCACATTGCAAACGCGATCCAGATATATATATATACATACATATATACACATATACATATATATACATACATATACATATATATATATACATATATATATATATATATACTTATATATACATACATATACATATATACAAGTATAGCATACACTATGTTATATACTGGACATACCCAAGCAAAAACAGTATTATATAGTTGATACATTATATGAACAGAAATCAGAGAGAGAGAGAAAAGCATGCAAGAAGCAAGAAAAAAAGAAATAAAGGAGAAATAAATAGAGTAAGAGAGAAAGAGAAAAAGAGAGAAAAAGAGAAAGAGAGAGAGAGAGAGAGAGAGAGATTTCATCCATGTTTTCATCACTCCACCCATATTGAATAAGTTGAATCAGTTAATATTATTTCATCTTTTATAGATCTTCTCATTATTTGGACGGAACGATTCATTGAGTTGCATTTGTTTTTCGTGGTAGAATGTAGAAACCATAGAGTTTTACTGCCTGTAGTATTTGGTACGAACCATTACTTCATATGTATGATAGAAACTATAAAATTTTATTTAGCAATACTTCTTAGTTTTAGTTTTTATTTCAATCCAGGTATAAATTCTAGATTATAACTTGTATAATTTCTGTGTTTTGGCTTATATAACTTTATAGCTTTTTCATTTTTTCATTCAGTCACTCAGTTAATTCACTCATTCCATTTATTCATTCCATTACTGTTTCGTTCTTTCATTCAAATAATTCATTCATTTATTCAAAACGAACTTACAGCCATCAATTCACGCCTTTCTCACTCGATCAATCAGCCAATCATTTTATATTCATTTTTTTTATATAAAATTTTTTTTCTTCCCCCAATCACACAATCGATCAATCGTTCAATTATAAGTGCAATGCTAAATAAAACTTCACTCTACATATTTTTCTGCTACTTACTATAGCGTGTAGCTAAGATTTGTGTGTGTGTATGTGTGTGTATGTGTGTGTATGCGTGTGTATGTATGTGTATAAAATGTATATGTATATATATATAGCCCCATATTAATTTTTAAACCTCTTGATTCTTCAATTTTTATCGTGAATGATGTTCAATTTGTAAATTTTGTTAATTTTATTTTTCCTTCGTTCCGCTGTATTTCGTGGTATATTTTGGTATGCTTTCATACTTTTTTAGATTTGGAAACATATTCATTCATTTATTTCTATTTTTTGCTCCCGTCTGTCCATCTTTCTTCATGAATGTTAAATAAGGCTGATCGAACTCTTCAGAACATAAGCAATTTTTTGTATACAAATATACAAACGCGTTTTGTAGTTTGTATAATTTTGGTATGTACATACAAAAGTTGTAGCAGTCTGGGGTTTTTTTATCTTTGTATGTTCAAACATACATGCATACAAACAAACAAGCAAACAAACAAACAAACAAACGATATATATATATATATATATATATACAAACATACATACAAACAAACATACAAGCTTACTTTTCCATTGCAGCTCAGTTTTATTTTTCAGCTTTTTTACTTATCTAGTTTTTTTTATTATTGTTTCTGAATTTGAATAATTTGATTATTATTATTTTTATTTTTATTTTTCTTATTCAGGACACTTAATTCTGTTTTTTATAATTTAAATTTTTAATCAATTTTCTCGCTCCACAAATCCTAATAGTAATTATTGGCTGTATGGGTGTATGTTTTTTTTTGTTCGTATGTATGTGCATGTATGTATGTATGTGTGTGTGTTTGTATGTGTGTTTGTATGTATGTATGTATGTGTGTGTTTGTATTTATGTTTCAATTTTTGTCATAGGTGAATAATAGTTTATAAGTACAGTACAACTGCTTGTATATTAATAAGGGTTTTTCTATGCACACAATTCGTTGGTGTGAATGTTGGTGTGAATGTTTGTATATATGCGTGTATGTGTGTGAATGTATGTGTACGCGTTTGAATGTATGTGTACGCTTATATATAGCTGGGTGTTTGTGTATCATCAATCATGAATAAGACGCAAAAAGTAGCCCAATTGCATCTTTTTATATTTGTTATATGATTGTTTGCAGTCATAACAGTGTTTTCATGTATGTATGTATGTATGTGAGTATGTATGTATGTATGTTTGTCTGTATGTGTCTGTGTGTGTGTGTGTGTGTGTACACTGTGTAGTGTGAACACACGTTTGTATGAGCAGTGCTGTATACCGTTGTACGTTGTGTGTACGTACAAGCATCTTGGTATGTGTGTACATACATGTTTATACGTTATGTGAATGTTGATTTTTGCGTTTGTGTATGCGTTTGTATACGTACTTCGCATGCATTTGAGTATATATGTTTGTACACTCTTCTATATATCTGCTTATACATTTGAAACTTTGTAAGAAGTGTATTCTTTTGTATGTGTGCGTATATCCATGTTTTCTTGTACATGTTTGTGTGTACCTTTGCATACGTGTGCACATACGCGCAATTATGTGTGCGTATTCTTGGGTAATCATGCGTACTTTCACATGTATTTTGCAGGCATGGTGCTGCATGTAAATTGTCGTTTAGCTCCTCTTTGCGAATGTTGAACCGCTGTGTAAATGTAGGACTACTGAGATGCTGGACTGAGAATATTAAGGCCAATAATAATAAAAATAGAAATACGGAGAAGAAATTACAATTATTGAGTCATAATTAAGTTATAATTGAGAAAGACAAAGAATGGAATGGTAGAGAATTTGTTCTAGCTATACCAATACACGGACTCCCTAACAGCGATATAAAACCAAATTTTTAATTATATTTTTATGAAATTTTATTTATTTTTTGGTAGCAAAGAACAATTAACTAAAGGTAACAACAAGATAATAAAAATAACATTAAAGCTCTCTTTATCTCTTTTGCTTTTGTAACGTTCGTGTGCCTGTATGTGTGTGTGTGTATGTATGTATGTGTGTATGTGTGTGTATGTGTGTTTGAGCGCATATTTGTATGTTTGTAGAAAAAAAATTTGAACACCAGTGTAGAAATGCTAAAAAACGTGAATCTAATCCATCAATTTATTAATACGTATTCTTCGTCCGTTCATTCATTCATTCATAAATTCTTTCACTCATTCATTTATATCTTGGCCTGAAACAACTTTAAAAAATTTTTCGTATTCTTCGTCCGTTCATTCATTCATTCATAAATACTTTCACTCATTCATTTATATCTTGGCCTGAAACAACTTTAAAAAATTCTTCGTATTCTTCGTCCGTTCATTCATTCATTCATAAATTCTTTCACTCATTCATTTATATCTTGGCCTGAAACAACTTTAAAAAATTACCAATAGCTCAACCAAAGCAGAACATCGCCCACTCAGCAATCAATCGTTCATCTCTTCTGCTTCTTGAGGGCCGCCCCCAGCCATCCTGCGCCATCTTCAGCCTCCTCCTCTTCGACGTCGTCGTCATCATCCGTTCCTTCCGCTCTCTCGTCATCATTCTCTTCCTCATCGAGGTCGTCATCGTCATCCTCCTCTCCTTGCTTTAGCTGTTTGTAGCGCCTAATTAACAGAGACTCTCCATTCTCCCTCCTTTTCTTGCGCCCCGGACTTGGGCACTTGCGTTTGCAGCAGGGGTACATGAGGGCGAACATCAGGAACCAGCTGGCCGCCACCATCCCGCTCGACCAGAACGCCATCTTTCGGCCATACCGCTGATATATCAACCCGGATACGATGCAACCGACACCGAAACCGATTCTTCTCATCATCTTCAGAGCCGATTCTATGCTCATCGTGCTAGCGAGAGCTGAATGCGAATTTTTATTTTTCAACTTTCTTTGATGCAAGAATATCGGCTGGTCGTGTGCCGCCGCTACAACTAACGCCCCACCGACCACATTGCTGCTTTCGACCGCTAGTGCAAGCAGTGGTTGGTTGAAGAATCCGTAAAACGCAAGACGAGCTCCGGTTAATAACAAACCAATTAAAATGCAGATGATGTGACCCGATTTTCTTGATAGCCAATCACCGAAGAACGTGCAAACCAGGTCACCGGCTGCGGCCAATCCGATTGTGGCGCCTGTAAAAATTAAAGTTTCATTGATAATAACATGTATTTATAATTACATTTCAATTTTGTTTTAATTTTAAAAATCAAAAATCAAAAACATTGAAAATGAAAAACGAGACGAACCAATAAATAATTCAGACCCGTCTTTAATGAACTCATGCATGAACCAGGGGACGAAAAGAACCAAAACACCACCACAAAAACCAACAATCAGAACTGTCACGGCTGACAGCACACTTCTCCCCTCTAAACCAATCAGCTTCAAGCCCTTGCACACACTCTCCCACTTATTAATCACGTGACTACGACGACGCCTTCGATGTCTACTTCCGGTCGACTTTTCCCCATCCTCCTGGATAGCATCCGGCACGGGAATGGGATAAAATACACAGAGAAGCAAGGATAGGATGTGGATAAGGAAGAAAGTCCAAAAATGGAAAAGGATCCTACTAAGGTTGAGTGGAGGGACGTGGCATGGCAGGTGGTCGATCAGGAGCACAACAAACCAGGGAAAGGATACCGCCGCCAGGGCTGACCAGCAACTGTTTATTTTGGGGGTATGATTATTATTATTATTATTATTATTGTTGTTGTTGTTGTTGCTATTTATTATTATTATTATTATTATATTTACGTATGTCTTAGAAACACACAACAAAACCCACGCCAATTAAAACTACTTGCATAGCTAAAACTACATCTTTCCCCAAACATAATACAAAACTAACTCACTTAAACTACATACATAACATACATAGCTTAAACATATATATATATATATATATATATATATATATATATATATATATATACACACATATGGAAACAAACAAACAAACACATATATACATACATACATACACACACATACATACATACACACATACATACATACATACACAAACATACATACATACACACACACATACATACATACATACAAACAAACAAACACACCTTGTAGTTTTTCTTCTAGTCAATACCTGATTAGAGGATTGCAAAAAATCAACGTACAACTCGCTAGATAAGGTTTTGACTGGTGATGAGAACAGTTCGCAGACGATAATTAATATTAACATGGCGCCAAATATTTGGTCTCTTATATATTCTAGTTTATCAGTTGGAAGCGATGAAGAAGACGACGACGAAAGTGTTGACAATGTCGTTGATGAAATTGATAGCGAGGTGGATGAGAATGACAGCAAGGTGGATGAGAATGACGTATTTATTGATGATGAGGAAGAGAAAGAGGAAGAGGAAATAGATGATGACGACGTAGAAGTTTCGTTTGGTGGTGATGTTGGTGAAGCCGATGATATGGATGATGACGATGACGATAATGATGATGATGACAACGACGATGGTGATGATAATGATGGTGGGGGTATTGATTTTTTCCCGCCAATAAAGACAGACGATTTGAGAGGAGTTTTTCCATCAGGGTTTTTAAAATTATTAATCCTATTATCGGCGTAGAAGTCGTTAACTCCCTCATCTATTTCCGCACCATCGTTATTATAACCATCCATTTTGCTTTTGTTGTTGTTGTTGTTGTTGCTGCTGTTGCTGCTGCTGCTGCTGTTGTTGTTGTTGCTGTTGTTGTTGTTGTTTCCGCTATTTTCATTATTAGATTCACGCCAATTGACCGATCTTTTTTGATTGAACTGTTGTGAATTTCCTGCCTCATTAATATTGTTATCATTATTTTCATTACCACTACTACTACTGCTACTACTACTACTGCTGCTGCTGCTGCTGCTGCTGTTGTTGCTACTGCTGCTACTACTACTGCTATGTTTACTATGACCACCACCATCATCTCTCACATTTTTATCTGTACGTTGTTGCACCACAAACACGCTGGTAGTAGTAGTATCAATACTAAAATTTCTAGTATTGGTAGTACCAACATTAACATTGCTAATCAATGTTGACCCATTAACTGACCCATTTATCGAACCATTTACATATAACGACGTGTAGTTAAACCCTTCCAAGCCGCCATCGTCACTAACGTTTTTCTTCGATGCGTTATTCTCGCTAATTCCCCAATCAGTTTTATTGAAATTATTGTAGGAGATACAGAATTTTTCTGATTTCTCTTTGTCCAAAGATGGCAGTAGTACCATTATCAGGTGGGAGAACATGAGCACCGTCAGTGAAAATATCAATATGCATTTAGATCTCTTGGCAGTCGTTGCTACACAAAGATTCCAAAAGACGTTGGATAGCCCGGATGTGATTGCCTTCACTCCCAATAAAAGTCCTGTCTGTAGCGGAGTGAGTCCCAGGTAGAGGAAGTAGTAGGATAGGAATGGGATTAAGCAGGACTGGCCGGCCGAGTAGAAGAAACTGAAGGCATTTGCCACGAATATTCCTCTGTAGACCTTCACAGTCGTCATTTTTTCGTTATTATTGCGATAAAAATTCCTTCTAGAAATTTACTCTTGATTTTGATTGTTAGAAATTAATTCAAAAATTTGTCTCCATCATTTTAGATGAAATGTACGTACGTGCATCTAGATAATCATTATAACGTACACACACACGCACGCACACATACATGCGTTTTTTAATATGAATATTGTAGAGGCAGGCTATATCGATCAATGATACATCTTCTACAACTATTGATACATCAGTTTGAAACAAATGTGACGAAGAAAAACTTGATTTAAATCATTTATATAATAAAACAAATTATTTTAATTATTTTAAAAGTCACTTTAGTATAATAATGTTAATAATAGTTTAATTATTAATAGAATTTAAATTTAAAATCCAAAGAATCCAAAATGTGTGCAGATGTAGAAGCAAACTGCTAAACTCTGCAGATAGTGAGTCATCGATTGTGAACACCTGTTCACCCATTTGTTCGTTCTGTTCATCACAGGTGTTCATCTAAGTAAAAGTGAACTTCAATATTAATTATATATTTATTAATTGTTGAAGTAACGATGCGAATTTGGTCCGTGTATTATGTTTTGAAAGTAAATTTATATGTTTTAAAATTATTTATGGATTGATTTTCTAGCATATTTCTTCGTCTCATCCATCTGGTGCTTGATTTAGAAATGTTATATAGATGACACCGTGACGTCATTTTCAACCGGTTCGTCGGTCGGTCAGCCGGTCAGTCGGTCGGTCCTTAGTCGGTCCTCGGTCAACCGGATGGTCGGTTCATTCATTGGTCACTTACTCACTCACTCACTCAATCACTCAATCACTCACTCAATCACAAAAACCAAATAACTGCTTGAAACATATTTTGATCAGAAAAAAAAACTAACAAAAACATAGGCAAAAATGATTGCGATGATGGTGAAGATGATGAGGATGAATGAACGAATCAGTTGAATGAAGAAATGGACAAACGTACGAACAAACGAACGAACGAACGAACGAATGATTAATGTATGCATTAATGGACGAACGAACGAATGTATGATTAATGAATGAATGGACGAACGAATGAATGATTAATGAATGAATTAATGGACGAACGAATGAATGAATGATATAACAACAAATAGCAAACAATTCATCATAATTCATCTGCATTTCAATTATTATATAACCTATATGTATTGCATGTTAAGGTCCATAATACTAACTTGCAGACAACGCCTTGAAGGTTTACGCATGATATCTATGACTATCATGTGCCAGGTCAACAATTTTTATCAATTAGCGATGTTTTTATGAATTTTGAGTTATTATTTCAATTTCAAAATAAAAAATTGGAAATATATCAAATTTATTTTTTATTTAAATAATTGATTATATTATTAACATTGAATGAATTCTTAGTTTTATTCGCATGTTGTCGCTTTGTCAACTTCGAAATCGAGTGAACCAGTGTATTTTTGTTTCAATTTCAATCCATTGCATGTTGTTTCTATAGATCAATCAATCTTTCATTCATTCCTTCATTCATTCTTTCATTATGTCATTCATCCGTTTGGTCGCTTGTTCGTTCATTCATTCGTTCAATCGATCGATCAATAATTCATTTCATTCATTTATTCAGTCATTCTTTTATTTCTTCATTCTTTCTTAACTGTCCTTCATTCATTTATTCAAAATGAATGAATGAATGAACAAACGAACGAACGAACGAACGAACTATGGAATAATATATATCCAGGTACTTGCAACATACAAAACAAATATATATATATATATATATATATATATATATATATATATATATATATATATATATATATATATATATATATTACAATATTCTATAAATTCTATAAATTCTACCGAATGTTTGGCGTTAATATGTTTGTAGTATCAATTTTTTTCAAAAATTGAAAAAACGAACTACAAACATATTTAACGCCAAACATTCGGTAGAATTTATAGAATATTGTAAAAATTATGGTCTATTACCAACATGTATATATATGTATATATATATATATATACATACATACATACATATACAACATACTTTTATATATATACCATATTGATGATCATCTATGCAGCCATGCACGTAACCATGTATCTAACATAGATATATATCTATGGTATCTAAGCGACAAGTATGTTTTCGTTTGTTGTCAATCATTTTTTTTGTCTTTTCTCCCTCTCTCTCTCTCTCTCTCTCTCTCTCTCTCTCTCTCTATCTCTTTCTTTCTTGCTCTGTCTCTCTCTCTCTCTCTCTCTCTCTCTCTCTCTCTCTTGATCTAGTTTGGTTTTCTCTCTCATTTTTTCTCTCTCCTTCTTCATCTATCTCCCTCTCTCTCTTTCACTATCTCTCTTAAATTTTACAGCTTCAATTATTTTTCTTTCCATTGTTCCGACAAGTGGTGCAGGTAGATTTTGAGTTTGTTTGTGTCGTTACGTGCGCGTGTATGCGTGTGTGTGTGTGTGTATGTGTATGTGTGTGTGTATGAGTGTGTGTGTGTGTGTATGAGTGTGTGTATGTGATGTGTGTGTGTGTGTGTACGTGTGTTGGTTTTTTTTCAGTTCCTTTCAGAACAGAGAATTAGAATTGTAAGGAGTTTCTTAATAATTTCCACGTTGGCTTACTACCTGACGACATGCCTTCCTAGTTTTCAGTTTTCCATTAATAATAAAATGACTAATTAATAATAATACTAACTAGTTGTAATAAAAATAAGTAGTAATAAATAGCAGTAAGTATTATTAAGTAGTAATAATACTAATGTAAGTAATGTTAATAATAATAATAATGATGATGACAACAAAGGCTTTTGAATGTTGTGGATTGAAGGTATAAAACTGAATGCATTGTAATTAAGAAGACCTAATTTTTTTAGATTATGTAAAGCCAAAATGAAATAATATACTACTACTACTACTATTAATAATAATAATAATAATAATAATAATAATAATAATAAGAATGATAGTTATAATAATAATACTAATTAATGTCATTGCTATTGTTGTGATGGACTTGTTGAAAACGCATGTTAAAGTAACGTTCGCTATTATTTACTAATGATTATTGTGTTTAATGATAGTATTGTTAATACTGCTGCCACTACTGCTACTACTGCTGCTGCTGCTGCTACTACTACTACTGATAATAATAATAATAAAAATGATATTATTTCTGACCTTACTACAAGAGGTTTGTTAGCTATCCTAATTAACATTCAACCTGACCTTCCTAATAAAATGAGCAACAATAGCAATAACAACAACAATGATAACAACGACAACAATAATAATAATAATTACAACAACATTTACAACATTAATAACAAAGTCGACAATAGCAACTTAGCTAACAACCACAACAACAACAACAACAACAACTATATAAATAGCAACATCAATTATGACAACATCTACGCTGACGACATTAATGACAACAACAACAACGTCAGCAACAACAACAACAATAATAATAATAACGACACCAACAACAAAGATGATGATGACAACGACGACGATGGCGACAACGCTGTAATAGCAGAATGCACCTATGAAGGATTGAGAACCGCCCTATTTCTCCTCTCCATATTCTTCATGTTTCTCTTCTATCTCTTCTGCCAGCTGGGCGGCGGTCTTCAATTCATCAAAAAAAAAATCAAAAGAAAATTCGCCAAACCGACAAAATCGAGTCGGAATTCGACGTCGGTGAAGTCGAATACTATCAATTACATCCCTGCCAGCGACAAAAAGCATAAACTAGATAACAATGATAATGATGAAAATAAAAATGGCGACGATGATGATGATTCGAACGTGGAGACATCGTTTAACTGTGCCAAAGCCTTACTGGAGAAGAAGAAATGGAAGAAAATAAAGAAGGAGGACATTGTCAATGGGAGAGTTGTGACAAGAAGCAATCGCCACCACCATCATCATCAGCAGCAGCAGCAACATCATCATCAGCAACGGCGTTCCATATTCAGAGGTTATAGTAGTAGTCGTAGTGGTGATGGTAGTGGTAGCAAAGGGATATCTGCAGTCGTTAGACAGACTTCGAGGCCTTTTATATCGACTGCGGTTGGAAGAAAATATTGAACTGCTGCCGATTCATATCTGTGCGTGAAGGTGTACCAGTATTTAAGTGATTGCACGTATGTATATATATATATTTGTGTGTGTGTGTTTGTGTGTGTGTGTGTGTGTGTGTGTGTGTGTGTGCGTAGAGCTGCTGTGTCTGTTTTCAAAGTTTACATCTATTGCTTAGTTGATTGGTTAAAATTATTAGCGAAAATGAATATGTGTGTGTGTGAAAGTGTGTGCACATGTGTATACATACATACATGAATAAATAACATCAAAAGAAAAAAGATTTTATCCTCTTAAAATAAAATTTTAGCCATCGCTCAAACGAAATGACGTCATAAATAAAACCAAAGAAAAATAAATGTAACTGAATAAAACAAAATAAACAAATGAACTAATATATGTAAACAAACCCAAACTCCTTATCAACAGACATTTCTGTTAATATTCTTTGAAATTTTTAAATTCTTAAGCAAAACAACAACATTAACCAACTGATAAATTGTTTTTTATTCATTACTGAAGTTTAATCACCACCTTCATTAACATTGCCTAATTAGTCTTCAGCTAATAACTGACTCTAATAGCTTAATTAAATTTTAAATTTTAACATCAAAATACTCCTAACGGATTATTACATATAGAAAAAAAGAAAGAAAGAGAGAGAGAGAGAGAGAGAGAGAAAGAGAGAGATGGTGGAGATGATATTTTTGGTGACAATAGCCATAAGCATGGGTGCAATAATGAATATGATAATTATCGGAATAATGATGGCCATGGGGAAGATGGTGATGGAAAAGAGGGTGAAGATCATTTCCATGGTTGTGCTCGTCTGGTCTGTAGTATCATTATCAGGTGGTCATTTGTAATCACGTGATTATCATCTTCCTGATCATCGTTTGCAGTCACTTGATTATCATTATCATTTTTTAAGCTCTCTCCATTGTGATTATACTTATTAGATTGAAATTTTTTCGTGTTACTCTTTATTAAATTCTCTCTTCCTCTCTCCCTCACTTTCTCTGTCTCTCTTTCTCTCTCTCTCTCTCTCTCTCTCTC